CAAGCTTAGTATTACCTTCAGCATAGTTGCCAATCGGAAGATTTCGCATAATCAGCAATCCACATTGATCTGCTCCAGCAAACGTCAACGTTTTCTTTCAATAGCTGTTTTTTTTCTTCAAACAACACATTGTTCAAAGGAGATTCAGGGAGTCCAGCTAGTACAATGCTTCATTCTCTTTTTTCAGTTCCTGGTCCTTTGGAATCTTGTTACACAGAGCTATAGCTAACATTTCTATGGGTGGATCGGTATTTCTATCAAGGATGGACTTAAATCTCACCCGCGAAAGGTTATCAAAGTCTGTCAACTCGGTATCAGGAGCATCAACAATAGGGTTTGCATGAGAAAGATTGATTAATCTTTGTTCTTGAGTACCTGTGGGGCCCCGATAAGAGAAGATCAATCAAGCTTGAAACAAGTCATTGCAAATGTCAAATATTCATGACCCCAAAAAACAGCTATTAAACGGTTTCTCAGATGCAAAGAGAGAGATTAAATTACCGAAAATTAGCTGGAAAAACTGTACCCTATATGTATAGGCAAGATTAGACAAAGACTAACAGGAAGAACTTGCTAAATTCGAAGTGACTTTGTAAAACAGCGATCCGCAAGGATAAACACGTATGTCAAGAAAGGGCATGCTGGATTTGAAATCGACGTAGCAGAAAAGAGTTCACGATAGAGCAAGATGCCCGCAGATTTGAGAATAACATTGTTCTCGAGATAAGAAAAAATCTATTGCGAAGAACATATACAACAACCTCTTCCGCTCATCCACACCCGTGCCGACGCTCGTTGTTCCCACTGGAGAAGTACCACCACGGATTCTACCTGCTGAAGTGTGTAGCGCGATTTAGACCATGAAGACGTCCTCGGCTCCAAGGCCAGACCATCTTTCCGTTGAATTCCTGCGAGCCGGAGGACAACATTTGCACAAGATTCTTCCTAACATCTTACTTTCAGACTGAAAGGATTCCCGACCAGTGGAAAACGTCTAAAACCGTTTTTCTCCAAGGAGGACAGATGAACATTTAGAACATCGGAGTGCATTCATCGCGAAGTGATCGTCCCCAAGGAAAACCTTCAGCGAGATGAGCAGACGTGTTCACGAAACGGATGGACTGAGAAACCAGCTGGATACAATTTCCGCACCTGGAACTCGTGGACGCAGCCACGGACGTCAACCAAGAACATCGTGAATGTCTGAAGCGAGAGACAAGTAAAAATGGAAAGTTTTGTGCTGGGGCTCGATTGTTGAATTATGATTATGATTATTGTTGAATTCACTCGTGCTTCGTTGCTTGGACGGCCCGGCCTCACATCACGTGAGGCCGGGCCGTCCAAGCAACGAAGCACGTAAGTGAATTCAACAATAAGAAGAAATTAGCCAGGGCCCGGCACGAGTCCGTTTTTAGGCTTTCTAAAAACGAAGTCCCCTCTGACTTTTGAAAACTTTACGATGTCCCCTTTGACCCTTGTTGAAAACTACCAGTTTTATCGTAGTCATGTTTACACCTTCCCACCCGCTTAAAAGTTCATTCTGAGAAGTGAGACAGTAATGAACCTATGAACGGTCTAGATTCCTAAATCTTGCGTTTGAGATTTTGAGGTATAGACGGAGCTAGAATGAGAGCGATTGGATTTAGTGATATTTCTAGCTTGGAAAAACAAAATTTTTTTGTTTCGTAAGACGAACAATTAACTTTTTTGTTATGGCATAATTTTTATATTTCATGTCAACAATGGCTCGGCATAGTATCGACCGATCGTTAAAAACACGCTGCGTGGGTTTCCACCTCTGGCCTACGGTAGGCCATCTACGTCAAGAATTATGAAAAGCACACAACAAAAAGAAAATGAAAGGACAAAGTCATTTCTCTCAAAGCTACAAAACATTTGCTTGAGTAGCGTCAGATGCTATGAGTGTCCAAGACAACAAATCATAGCAAAATAGGTTATGCAAATGAACAGAGCCATTCCTTGTGGAATAGAACACAAAAGAATCACTTGATTTTACTGCATAGGTTGGACCCACTAATTTCACTTTGATTCTCAACCAATGCATTTTTGAACTTCACTTCCAAATGGATGGAAAAACTTAGAGCAAAGAATATTGTAAACGAGAAAAATTGGTTGTTTCTGAGGAAGCAAGGAGCCAGATGCCAACCATGTGTCGACATTTGTGAAGTCTATCTGCTCTACTGATGAACGGCTAGTCTGTACAGATAAAAATAAGCTCAAAAGCACATAAGCTAATCATTGGCAAAGCTCGAAGGTCGACACTTGGAACATCCTGGGAATCGGCCACAAATTTCAAAGTACATTGAATTCTTTCCATACGAGTAGAAAAAACATGGCGGTTTTCCAAAACTGCCTAAATATTCTTAGTCATTCTAGCTTGATGAACAAAGAAAAGCGCATATTTACCGGTGCATCTTTTGCAACGATGTTTACTTGCATCGCAAAACTTTTTTGATACCATTGCGGTTCGCATCAGCGCTATTTTTGGCACGATGACAATTGAGCGTGAAGTGGTCCGCCCGTCCTGACTTCTTAATTGAAATCATTGTGGTTCATACCATACTTTAACAAAATCTTAAAAGCCTATCAATGAACTGTTTTGCTTTAGAAAGTAGGTAGAATGTTCTCCCTGAAAAGGGGAGAACATTCTACTCAAAGCGGAAAAAAGCGAAAGGGAAAACTTTCTACTTAAAGCGTAATAAAAGCGAAAGTCGGAGAACATCTAGAAGTCAAATTGGAAATTACATTCAAAACACTCTAGAAAAATAAGAGCTCTTTTGCAGATAGCGTTTGTCTGATAATAAGATATCTTGATTCTGTACCTGCGTCACTAGGAAGACAATAATATGGTGAAAGAAAGAAAAAATCTTATCAATACCCACCCAACCATAATGCCTTAATTTCCACCATCATTCAGAATGATCCTGGACCCGAAATCTCGGACTTATCACTGATATCATTTATGTATGGACGTTTCTGATATCCCTCGATCGAATCGTTGACGAACACCGTCGTATTCATCAACGCTCATCTGCAAAATGGGGAAAACTGAGAATTTCTGAGGAAATGCACAAGTCGCGAACAAATTAACCTTGAGTTTCATTCGTAATGACATTATAAAAAGCTTGCCAACAAAGAAAAACAAATGAAACAAACAAAAAACCAGAAATAAGAATGTCCAAGAGTTTAGCACTGGGGCGCGATATGAAGCGGAGAGGTTTTACTAGTAAATTATAGATAAAAAATAAAGGAAAGGCAACATGTGGGTCTTTCCTCATGGTGAAGGATAGATTGTTGACAGAGGATTTCGTCCATGACAGCAGAATCCGAAACTTATGTGAAGTTACGAAAATATATGCTCCAGACGATCTCAGATCGTCTGGTGGCCGTCTGGAGACGATCTAATTTTGGAAAAGGTATTACTTCACATAAGTTCTCAAACCTTTCCGCATAATTCTTTTGCAAATAATTTTCTATGTATACAGTTCAGTTTTGGTGTCATATGATTCTGTGTGCGCTGTAAACAAGCAATTTTTTCATTTTAGCCTTGCTTTCAAATCGCGCGCACTTTTCGCCTTAAACGATAGAGCACGTCAGTCGTGTGATAACCTGTCAGAAAAGCTTGTGTTTGACTAAATAGCGCTTATTCTTGTTATTTGGCCCCGACTCAACAAAAACGATATCTCCTTTGCTTTTTGCTCGGAAAACGAAGCCCAGCCTGCTTCTAGACGATCTGTGCCGGGCCCTGAAACCAGCTTTATAAAATGGCACCTAAAGGTCGGCAAAAAACTTTCGAAAGAGGTGTTAACGATCCAACAGTATGTGCATATTCTTAGAACATCTGCATACCATAACCAGAAGAATTGCTCTGCTTTTTGCTGATACTTACAAGGCAGGGATAGTTGGTCGAAGTGGCAATTCCACATGAAATGTAAACTGTCTTGTAAAGCATGAAACGCTGATTTCAAATCTGCTTTCGCTATCTGCAAGGCGCTTCTGCGAGGGGAGTTTCTAGAATTTTTTGGGTCAAATATATAGACGCGCGGCTCCAAAAAATTATTCAAACCTGTAGCCTGTGAGCAAGGCAGCGTCCCACCAGACTGGGAGTACCTGGCTCTCGTAATGATGTAATAGTAGACCCCCCACCTAAGCGATGACTGAAGTTCGGAGCGAAAAAGGGGGTCTAAGCCTGAAATTTGCTCCGAAAGTGGGCCGAATCTTACGGTAGGCTCAGGCGAGTGCGAGGTGCATGCAAGGTAGAGACGCAGAGTCGTTGCGGGTCCCTGCGCTCATGATGTGTGCACTATACGCACTCTGGCCCTGCAAATCGATATTGCCATGCGGGCGGCGTTCGGCCCTACCGTAAGATTCGGCCCACTTTCGGAGCAAATTTCAGGCTTGGTAGACCCCCTTTTTCGCTCCGAACTTCAGTCATCGCTTAGGTAGAGGGTCTACTATCAAATCATTACGAGAGCCAGATATCCCCATTTTGGTGGGACAATGCCTTTAAATGGGCCCATGATTACTAGGGGCGCTTTATGCGCTCACTACCTTCACTCCTGTAAACTTGCGCTACTCATTATTCCTCTCTATAGCCGGAAAGGCCTCAAGACCGGTATTTTCTAAATTGAACCATTGTATTTCCTCCTCAAAAATTGACCATAACCCCCCCCCCTCAGAAGCGCTCTGCAGATAGGGAAAGTGGATTTGGAAAAAGCGTTTTATGCTCCATAAGAAGGTATACATTTCGTATAGATACTCCACTTCGACCAAGTATCTTTTCATTGTTAGATATAGATCGATAATGAAAGCTTCATATCATAACATGTTTTTTTCTCTTGTTAAGAACGTCTAAAGCTATTGAATGAATGAATAAATAAATAAATAAATAAATTTTTTGAGCAGATGTCGCGGAATGGCTAAAAATGCAAATCAATCATGAATATAAAAAGTGAATCCCATTATAGCATTGCCAGTCTTGTGTTGCCTTCTTCGTAAAAGCTCTTTTCTGTAACTACGTCTACCACTTTCTTCAGGAATGCAAGCTGCTTTATTGGTGGTCCTCATAGGTGTTTGGATCGTTAGTGCCTGGTATGATCCAGTGTTCGTAAATGAGCTCAGGGGTCTGGTGGAAGACGGAAGAGACAGAGGTTTGCTAAGCGCTCTTAGAAAAAATGTTCATCTAAACCGGTAATTTCCTATTAGCATCTGTCTCAAATATTAAAACGAAGCTTTCTAGCACTACGAAAAAAGCAGTTGTCAACGAGATTCTTGAATTACAAAACGAGAGAACCCAGGTTTGTCAGTCATTTTGCTCAGGCGTAGTTACAAGCAAAACAGGACCAGCTGAACAAGTTACAGGAAGCATATGCAACCAGAGTGCAAGAGAAAAAGCAATTGCATAAAGCACAGTATGACAAACTACTATCGAAGGCTGGAGCAGATCAAGCAGTGAAGGACTACTTGGAACAAGCTGAGAAGATCAACAACGACATGGCCATCAAAGATGATGATGCAAGAACGAAGATGAAGGAAGTGAGTTTTGCGAACGCTGAGGTATAATGACTCTCGGATCACTACTTAGTTTCAGTTGAGAGCAAAGCTGAACAGAAAGCAGCGCAAATTTGCGAAACAAATGGAGAAATTTACATGATTTTCCTCGGGAATCTGAATTTAATACACATGCATGCCAATTGACTTAACTACAATCATTTCAAGGCTACTTCATAAGCGCGGTTCACCAGGAACGTAAAGGGATCCCATTGTGAATGCCGGTTCGGCGGATTTGGCTCCTCGCAAACCCTCTGGTTTAGGCCACGCACCGCGTTCGCGAACTCTCCTCGTGACATTTTCCCGAGCTCCGTCAGTCATTGACACCTAAGGGGTACGGTGTTTCCCACATCCCAGGCATGAGAAATACCGTGTGCGAAATGACGTTCGCGAAAGCGACGAGTGGCCCAAGCGCGGTGGCTCGCGAGAACCCGAGCCGCGCGACAGCGACACTCAGGGATCCCTGTACTTCAAACAGGTTCGAACTTTATATGTGAAAAAACATCGCAATTTCCAGCTGACCTGGGGCAGGCTCAATCGGCCTCAAACGGCAAAATTGGCAAACACAAAGCATTGGTAAATTCACCATGTATTAGGTCGATGCAAAAGTTTTGACTTTGAGATAGCTACTGGAGACTGCATTCAAAGAAGTTTTAGTAGCCAGCAGGTAGAGCAAACTTTAGCAAATCAACGTTGATTTGTAGCTCTGCTTCTTGTCTCTAACAAGGAGAGGATACTTAATCGAAAGCACCAATCCAGATGAGACATACATCATCTTAAAGCGCTTGAAACGCTGATTCCAAATCTGCAGTTTCTAGCTGCGGAGCGGTTTTGTAGAAGGAGTTATGAAGGATGTTCCCCTCTGGGGTTTAGGCGCCCTCCAGCGGTCTCCCCTTATCTGTAAGCACTGTAGAGGAGTATCAGCTGATGGCAACTGACCTAGTGATAAGTAGCTTGAATGAAGATTCCAGTAAAGATTATAATACTCATATTACTTTGGTTTTTTTTAACACTTCAAACTTCGATTAGTATCAATATCATCAGAAGTTTTGTGCTTTAGGGCTCTAAAGCCATTTAGAAGTTCAATTTGGCATGCGAAGGGGATTAAATCCTTGACACTCTCTTTATCAAGCACGTCACTTACCACTAGGTCAGTTGCCACCAGTTGGTACTTCTCTACAGTGCTCATAGGTAGGGGGTGACCTGATGAAGGGCGCCTCAATCCCAGATGAAACACCCCTCATAATTCCCTCTACAAAACCGCTCCGCAGCCAAAAACTGCAGATTTGCATCAGCGTTTCAAGCGCTTTAAGATGATAAATGTCTCATCTGGATTGGTGCTTTCGATTAAGTATCCTCTCCTTGTAAGGTTTAAATATGAGACAAGTTCCGTGTTTGATTGAATCAATAATCGTAAAACTCAAAAGTAAACGTTCTAGGTCCATACAGTGCAACATATTCTCCTCTTTCTGACAGTTTTTAATGCCCTTCCCTTTAATATTGGACGAGTGGAGCAAGGTTGATAACGCCAAATCGTGGCAGGACCCAATGGTTATAGCGTTGCGGCGGGCAGGCTCAAATGGTGAGAAGGAAATTGCCAACTCGTCCAGATGCGTATAAGATTGGCCTGCGCGTGTAAGTCGAGAGCGATTTTCTCGGCAGGGAAAGCATGCTGTGCAACCGGGATTGCACTGTTTTCATAGTTGGGTGATAATGAACCTACTGCGTTAAAATCCCGAGTTGCTGGTTTGCCGATCCACTGCCTTTAAAAGTCTTAAATATAAAAGCTTGCAAGCTTCGCTTACTATTCAACGCTCGTCGGAAGCATCGCGTTTGGAGCTGCTGAAAGCCGAAGAGAGGATTTAATTTTGCACCCGATATGCTTGACTTAATCTTTATAATATACTCTACCGTATTTGCGGCTTGTTTTACAAACTGACAAAACTTTTGCATCAAACTAACAATTAGCCAAAAAGACCACATAGGTAACTATGGAAGATGTGGGTAACTTTATCGAAGTATTGCATTTTGAGCTTTCATGCTGAAATGCGAATCGAATTATAAATAGACAACTAGGATTTGATTTTTTTTACTACAACTATCATTGATACAGGTCTCTGAGTGCATGCACGGTTCCCTACCAAGCTCAATGAACAGGATCAAAAAAAAATTCTGCAACCACTTTCATACGAACGGAACTTTTCAGCGAGCCTGTATGAGGCAGATCCAGACCGAGAAAAATTTGATGAAAATCAGTTCGTGGTCGCAAAAACAGGTGTCACCAATAATAAGACAATAAGTCACCAAGTCGATTCAAGAAAAGCATTTTTGCGTTTTCCTTCGTCGTTGTTTAGAAAAGACTATAGACTCTTTCTACGTTGTTTCGGAACAGCTACTAAATTTAGCGACTTAGATATACAGCGTTTATGAGACATGCCAACATCGAAGATAAAAAAAAGAGCATGCTACTAATTTACACTACCTGTCAGCGTTAAAAGCAGTGTCCGGGCAAAATGGGGGTTTTGGGATTTCAGTGCCATGCGAGAGTGGCCTCCCTTGGACACAACACCGCGCAAGTGCGATGTAATAACGCTCCACTTAAAGCAAGAAAAACGACTGGAAAGTGGAGACTGACGCCTTGGGGCGGGATCCTCCGAGCTGTCCGAATTCCTGCTATGCGGCAGAGTACGCATGCCGCCACAGTCAAAATTGTAGGGACCGTCGAATTTTGAATCGTAAGGGGGAAGAAGAAGAGGAAAGAAGAAAAGAGAAGAAACTTATGAGAAGTGAAGCTGAAACAAATGGACACTACCATGGCATAGACAGCGTGTTTTTGTCCAAGATCTCTGCCTCTTACAATATGCTGCATTTAGTGATGTGAATTTTAATCCCAGCATCGAACTTTGCAGCCATTGTCACGAGCAGAGGCGTTTGTACATGCTCGATACTCGCTGTGCAAAAGCTTCAAATCGCAGCTATCAAAATGCATACATTGCTCTATGAAATGTGGCAGCTGACTAACATTTCATCAATCAAACCCCCCCCCCCCCCGGCATTTCATATGCTAAAACGTTTATAATTGCTAAAAAAATATCTATACTAATTCTAGGCGATATAGCTCTTTTGTGAATGAACTCAAATATATGTGTGCGTGAAATGGGTCGTAAGTATCACAAGTGGCTTTCACTACTAAAAAAATGATAAGAACAATTGAAATGATATGGGTTATAACACGATGTGCACTTCTACATTCTATTATTTTTAAATAAAGCAAGTACTTCATCTTGTTTTTTTTGCACTTTTCTTCTACCACAAATACGAATCGTTATTTGAGAAGCGGGTAGACTGAGTACGAAAGCGAATGACGGAAGTGTCAATCCTCTTGCTCGATTCCAAAACCTATAATCTGAGAAAGGCAGAAGCGAGAAAACTTGAAGTGATACTAAAAACTTTCCGTAACAGAGAAAGCTAAAGGGAAACCAAACAAATGCTTAGAAATGAGCAAAACAGATTTGTATCACTGATATCAGTGACTTTGTAGGCTGAAACGTTCATCATGAGGCAATTGATCAAAACGAGAAATAGTAGAACATTGACCTATCAATAAAAGCCTTTATCCTGGTACAGCTATTCAAATTATCATCGATGGAAGTTCGTGAGTTTCTCAAACAATGATCAAGAGCCGTGGAATTAGTTGCTGTTCATTTGCAGTCTACCAACCAATACCAAAGAGGCCAATAAGTTATAGCTGTAGATAAACAAGTTTTAAGATTTAAAACCATTTGATACCTGTTACTCCGCAAGAACTGCAGGCCATTATGAATTCATTTTGCTCTTCAAAGTGCTGATGTTCACTTAAACATAACACTTAAACAACTTGAATGAGCGAAGAAAAAGTTTGCACGTTTACGCGTAATGAGTAGAAAAGACAATTATCATGGTTTTCAAAAGTTACATGGACAGGTCTCCTTCTCGGAAATAGCATATGCCCTTTATAGCAGGTCGGCATCAAATAATACATACTTTGCGTTTTATAACGATTTAACGTTAGTCAGAATATCTCGAGGGATTTACAAAATACTTTTCTACGGGTTGTTCTATCAGCCGAGATGCGAATTCCTCGTACCTCGGCCGGGTACCTAACGCCACTCCCGAACATCTGATGGCGAACTGAATGCTATGCAACCCTTTTTAGTCTTTTTCTGAAAAGCAACTTTTTTCCCCAATTCGTCAGAGCTCTACGGGTGCAGCGAACGTGGTAGTAAGTTTTGAACGCCACACTTGTGAATGAAGTTTTGGGATTCGATAATTCGAATTGGTGGACGCCAGTGCTTGTTCAATTACTGTTTGATGATCGATTCTTGAGACTTTCCTTCAAAAATTTTGAGCGTTTGATGCTGCGCGTACACGAAATTCACCTAGAAAACCACTCAAAAGTTAACGGGAGGTGCCCAAAAATTCATTGTATTGCAATCTGTTTACTCTACCCACTTGCATTTCAATGGATTCCAGAAGTACTTTAAAGAACTTAATAAAAATGCTGCAAAGCTTAGAATTTTTTCGATTGGCGGCATCTCGAATTAGAATTTTGCTCCAGAACTAGGCAGTCCACAACATGGGGAAAATGAGGGATAGCTATCTTCTTTTTTGTGTTTGTTATGAAAAAACATTTTATAACTGGTGATTATGAAGAAGATAATAAACGAGAAAAGAATTACATTACATTTATGAAAACGTAAGTTTATGCTTTTTTACAAGTCGGAGATGCAGAAACAACCTGGTTTTCCATGCATCCTTTGAATTTCTACCCCCTTTTCTCAGTTTTTGTTTCGGACGACGTTGTCAGCTTTATAATGCTCATAACACTGAGCAAAACGCAGCCAAATGCTCCCGCCCCGCATTTAAAGTAGCGAGATGGCGCGCAACGCGCGGAGACGCAGAAGAGCAAAGGAGAAAGATTAAAGCCAATGGGACATGTAGCTCGGTCGTAGATCTCCGCGGGGCCTCATCGAAACCCAGCAGCATTATAAATCATTCTGATCGTCATGAGGCGGCTTGGATTACTGACAACGTTGCAACTTTTAAAAATCACTGCCTAACGAGATAAACCAGCATGTCTGTGCGCGACTGTCTTACAAGAGTTGAGCGC